CAATAAAAGCCATGCGTTGACCCGATTCGGTGGCTCAGTCTATCTCTGAAGGCTGAGTCCCTTGGTCTCGCTCTTAAATCTTACTTTTGTCTCTTGTACTTATTCAATCTGCGCCGCCCCTCTCGTGTCCCATTTGCCCTTGCCACGCTGGACGTGACATTTGACCATGACTTGGTAAAAAAGTGATCCATATGAGTCGTCCTAGGCTAGTATATCAGCCTTCCTGCCTTCCTTCCCTAGCTACATATCATCACTGCCATTGTAAATCATTATCACAAGAATTGTTTGGGGCCTAAAGATAAATGGAAAGTATTATTAATAGTAATACTAATCACTAACACTTACTAAACACATATAATCTGCCAGGCATGCTAAGCAAGCGGTTTTTATGTATTAAATGAATTGAATCCACATAACAACACTATGAAACAGATGTTATCATTACCTGCAGTTAAAAAATGGGAAAACTGAGGCACACAGAGGTTAAGGAAGTTACTGAAGGTCAAATTAATGGCAAATGACACAGCAGAGAATTGAATCCAGACAATCTGACTCCAGAGCCCAGGCTATTATCTACTATGCTGAACTACTTCCCCAAATTAATTGTCCTATGCCTGTTATTAATAATTTAAAATATATACAATAATATTGATATTTATTTCATTTATTGTATTTATCATTTTATTTGAGTGAATGTATTTATCACAGAAACTTCAAACTCTTTTGTTCCCACAAAGTCTTAGGTTTTCCAACCACAAATTCTAGCATGGGAGTCTGCAGCAAACTAACCATAACAGCTGGGGTGGGTTTGCTTCACTTCCATGAATTTAGAGGCCAGCTTTCCAAGCAATAGCATGAACAAAGCCTACTGCAATAGTTGACCCTCTCTTTATATTTCCCCAAATCAAGTTGTAAAAGTTATCCAAGAGTCGGAAGCCCTGCCTATTAGGCTAGTTTCATAGAGGAGGCTCCTCCCCTGCACGTTCAGATCAAATGTGCTCCCTACCCAAGAGTGAATGAAGCCCAGTGATATCAGATGGACAAAATTCTTAAAAGCTATGCTTGGCCTGAGATACAACATTTTCAATCAGATCTTCTTTAATTTTTTAGATAAAATGTAGTTTCAAAGAACCAATTTTGAAATGAAATTCTGACACATGTTACAACATGGATGAACCTTGAAAACATTATGCTGAATGAAAGAAGCCAAACACAAAAGGACACATATTGTAGGATTCCATTTATAATCAGATACCTAGAATAGGCAAATTCAGACAGAAAGTAGAACAGAGATTACCAGAGACTGAGGAGAATAGCGAGTTATTGTATCTGGTTTGGGATGATGAAAAATTTCTAGAAATAGTGATGTTTTGCACATTATAAATGTACTTAATGCCATTGAACTGTACAGTTAAAATAGTTAAAATGGTAAATTTTATGTTATGTATATTTTACCAAAATTTTTTATAAATCCCATAGGCACCAAAAAAAAAATTATTTTGAGTCTCATGGAGTCAGTGCTTACCAGGGTATCATCATTCTGGTCTCCAAACATTTCTTTAAAAATCTTGCCAGGATCAGGAATTGGAGGGAATATAATGATCTTGAGCCTTTAAGAAAACAGAGATATTTTTTATCAAATCTTCCACCCAACAGGAACATCCCACTTACATACAGTCATATTAAAAGAAGGCTTAAACAAAAGACATGGTACACAAGTCATCTTTAGTGACAGAGCAATTGTGAAGAAATTTCTAAAACAAGCCGAGAAATCGATGTCCAAAGAGCATCAAGTGTGGGTGAAGCAAAAGGGCCATCAGGATAAGTAGGCTACTTACATGCTCTCATTTAAAAAAAAATGTTTCCAGCTTTATTGAGATATACTTGACAAATAAAAATTGTATGTATTTGAGGTATACAATGTGATATACGTATATACTGTGAAATGATCACCACAATTAAGCTAATTAACACATCCATCACCTCACATAATTATGGCGGTGTGTGTGATACCCTTCATTTAAACAATAACAATGCTTTAGTTATCACAGACCAGATGGGAGCCTACTGTTTATAATTTTGAAAAAAATAATCAGAACAGGGTACACTCCTCTTTTATTTTTCTTTCTTTTTCTTACTTCGCTCCTCTATTTTTGCATCTTATAGAACCCTTTGGTGGACCTACCACATCTCCTGGGTCTCTACACATTGGTGTGCCCTGGGGTTCAGCCTTTTGGCCTCTTTATCTCACACACTTTATGAGCGTTCTTTTCCCATTTTGGGGCTTTAAATCCATCTACATGCTGAAGCCTCCCCAAATTCTATCTCCAGCCCAGACCTCTCCCCTAAACTCCAGATTCATGTATACAACTACCTATTCAACATCTCTACTTGGACATCTAACAGGTGTCTCAAGCTTATCATGTTCAAAACTGAAGTTCTCACCGTTACACTAAAGCCTGCTCTCCTCAGTCTCCCCCCACCTCAGTAAATGGCCCCAGCATTCACTCAATTGCTGAAGCCAAAAATCTAAGAGTTATCTTTGAATTCTCAATTTCCCCCATACCTCCACAGAGAAGCAGCCATTCTGCTAGTGCTATCAATTCTATCTTCAAAATATATCTTACACAGACCACTTCTTACTACCTCCATTGCTAACCACCTAGAGTCCAGGCCACTCTCATCTTCTACCACCGCCCCTCCCCCCCAGATACTGTACTGCCTCCTAAACTAATCTACCTGTTTCCATTCTTGCCCATTCTTCACTCAGCAACCACAATGATATTCCATGATCTTAAATCAGATCACATCCCTCTCCCACTTCAAACTCCCCAGCATGCTTAGGATAAAATACCAATTCCTTGCCATGGCCAAATGATCTGGTCCTGCCCAACCTCTCCAGACTCATCTCCCGGTACTCTCTCGCCTGCACACTCTACTCCAACAAGACACACTTGGAGCTTTGCATTTACTGTTCCTTTGGCCTGGGATGCTCTTTCTCTGAATACCTGAATATCTCATGCCTTTATTTTAAGTCTCTCCTCACATGTTACTTTCTCAGAGAGGCCTTCCCTGGCCATCCTATGTAGGATGAGCTACATATCACTTCCTAGCCTTTCTCCCCACCCCACCCCACCCACAACTTTACTATATACTATGTGAACTTGTAGTATTTATTATTTGTTTTATAGATACAGATAGATATGGGGATATAGATATAGATCCCTCCTACTAGAACACAGATAGGGACTCTGTCCTGTTCACTGCTATGCCAGCAATTAGGACAGTGACTGGCACATAAACAGGCATTCAATAAATGTATGTTGAACAACTATTGATATAATGATAAAACATTGGTTCTAGACCCAGCTTAATAACCTTATTCCAACCACAGGCATTTACTGAAAGAGCAAATAATAGCACTAGACTAGTCCCTATGGTGAGACAGAGAAAGTGAAACACTCTCAAGGAAGGAGTAACGTATATTACAGACAACTTGGTGAAGTTCTTCCTACAGCATTTAGTAGCAAGCTGCTTTACATTCATACCAGACAAGTCATTTAATTAGTAATGGTCTCCAATTCTAAAACTTCATTCCAACAGCTACCAACTAACTGTCGATAAATTAGGCATTCAAAAGAGTAGAGGGAACACAGGTCCTATTAACAATTCTAAACACATGCAAAGAGAACAGTGGCTGAGCAGGGCCTTGGGAAACCAATCCAACACTTTCTGCACCAGAAAACTGGGCACAAACATACTTCTTTGCGATGTCATACTACCAAAAGCCAGTTATAGCTGAAATAACCATAGCAACCAGGCTAGCAGAAACTGTCAAGCCTGCCTGGGCAGCTGCCTTACCTTTTTAAATAAAGTAGAAGGACTATGATTGCACCTGCAACGATTATGGGAATAATGAGTAACATGGTTATGTAGAATGTCGGATTGGCCTTCTTACCTGGAAAATGGAAAGCAAACAAAAAGATATGAGAAATAAAATCCTTTTACAAATAAACCAAGCAGCAGCTCTATTAGACTAGTGAGGTCACAGATGTTTCTGCCCTCTATCCCAACCTATTTTCCAAAACAATTCAATCATCTTCTGTTCTGCTATCTTAATGGGGAAAAAAAAGGCCTGGTCTGGTGCCTAAAATTCCATGGATGAATAAACATTTTAAGGAATATCTGAAACCAGGATATCCTCACTGGTTTCAAACACTATTAACAAAGATGTTATAGCTGTTAAATATGTCATCTCATTAACAGTGACTATCTTTTCTTATTGGTTACTTAATACTATTAGAACACTTGAAATAATCCTATCAACTACCACTACTATTTTTAATTGAGCACCTACTATTATGTCTGATACCATACTAGGTGCTTTTACATGCTTATATCTACGCTATGTAGATAATATTACCTCCCATTTATATAGATGAGAAGGATATGGCTCAGAGCAGTTTACTGGCTTGTCCAGAAGGGTTTAGTAAGTGATGAAGTCAAGCCTCACATCTAGCACTGTTTAATTCCAAAGTCTCTCATTAACTGCCTTGCTACACCTAACACATGGAATGTCATATGTCTACTTATTCGCTTATCTTTTTCACTGGGACATCTAGAAATATCTAGAAAGCATCATTGGGACCTAGCATCATTGTGTTAAGCAGCCTCTAAGATGACCCCAAATGATCCCTGCTTCCTGATATTCACATCCTTCTGTGATCCCCTCCCCTTGAGGATGGGCTGGACTAATTGACTCATTTGTAAAGAACTGAATAGCAACAGTGATGGGATGTCATTTCCGAGATTAGGTTATAAAAGACTGTGGTTTCCAGACTGGCTGTTGTCTCATATACTCTTTCTTGCTTGGATCACTTGGTAGCCCTGTGGAAAGCTCCAAGTGGCAAGGCACTGAGGAAGGCCTCTGTATTAATTTCCTAGAACTGCTATAACAAATCACCACACACTGGTTGGCTTAAAATAACAGAAATATATTCTCTCACAGTTCTGGAGGCTAAAAGTCCAAAATTAAGGTATAAGCAGGGACATGCTTCCTGTGAAGGCTCTAGAGAAGAATCCCTCCTCGCCTCTTCTTAGCTTCTGGTGGCTCCCGGAAATCTGGTGTTCCTAGGCTTGCAGCTGCATCACTCGTCTCTGCTTCCATCTTTACGTGGACTTCTTCCCTGTGTGTCTGTGTGTTTCTGTATATCTTCTATTCTTCTTTTTTTAAAAAGATTTTTATTGGGGAATTGGGGGATGGGAACAGCGGTGGGGAATTGGGGGAAGGGGAACAGACAAGTTGCTGTCCTTTTGTTCTTCAGT